CACAAGTTTCCCATTCCATCCTGTGGAACAAGGCTATATATATATATATGTGTGTGTGTGTGTGTGTGTGTGTGTGTGTGTGTGTGAATGGTACTTTGCACTGTGTAAACACTTGTCTATTGTTTGTTCTTTTTCTGTATTTTGTAGCTACTGCTTTGCTAGAACACTATTGAAAGCCATGTTATTGAGGCCAGCATCACGCTGAATCAGAGTGCAGTCTGAATTTTTCTTACAGAATTTTTCTTAAATTCTGGATCATTAAAAACACCACCACTCTGTTCCCCCAGTGGGACAAGGAATGCCCTCGTTAAAAGCCTTTGCTATGTGTTGCAGTTTCAATGTGTGGAACATTTGTAGTCTCCTGCTGCAAGGCCTGGAGGCAGCTAATGTTGGTGAGCAAATGCTCCACACATTGAGACTGCTACACTTGGTAGAGGCATTTATTTTAACATTGCACCCCATCACATGGTTTGCCTCATTGGAAAGTGGTTTTAACTGCAAACATAGGAAGGGCTTGGCAATTAAATAGGCCCCCTTGCTGTGCTACATACAATAAAAGGTGCGAGTCCCTATCACTTGAGAGATCTACAAAGCTTTCGGTCTTGGGTGCAAGTCTCCAAAACTGCTTGCAGACAAGTTTTTTGTACCTTATGTGGGAGAATTAATTAAAAAAAGAATTAAGAACCCGGTGCCTCTGATCATAGGAAGAGGTTTCATTGCAAAGACAGAATTCATTGATAAACCTGCAGTGTGTGTGAGAGAGATAAATAGAAGGAAGGAAGGAAGGAAGGAAGGAAGAGAAAGAAAGAAAGAAAGAAAGAAAGAAAGAAAGAAAGAAAGAAAGAAAGAAAGAAAGAAAGAAAGAAAGCTGGCTGAGACTAGACAGCCACAGGCTCTCCACTGTTGATCCCCTCACAGGATCTCTAGTAGAGGGATGGGTGGTGGCAGTTTCCATATAATGTGTAATGTGTGCTGCTCTAGGAAAGCCTAGTGTAGGTATGTGTATGACAGGAATAGTTTTGATAATATTGTGTCTGATAAGGCAATCTATTGTTGAAAACCATAAATTCTGGGATTTAAGTAACTGAGGGGGTCAAGCCCAGAATATGTAAACATCAAGTCATGTAGTTAATCTGATTTAACTCTACGTCAGATTGCATGTGGGATGTGCATGTTTGAAAGTCTGGGGGGAAAGTTTCTATGCTAGCCTTCTTGCTGATTTGCTGGTTTTCTACATTGCAGGAATGCTTCCCACAAGAAAAACATCAGCAATCTGAAATGGTACAGCCCATGAACAGTCTTTCCATCGGATCTGCTGTTGGTAAAGACCAGACCTAATGTAATAATAATAATAATAATAATAATAATAATAATAATAATAATAATAATTTATTATTTATACCCCGCCCATCTGGCTGGATTTCCCCAGCCACTCTGGGCGGCTTCCAACAAAATATTAAAATACAATGGTCTGTTAAACATTAAAAGCTTCTCTAAACAGATAAGGGGTAGACTAATATGTTAATTTTGGTTTTCTGGTGCAACGGGACACCATGATGAGTGCCAGAGCTCATGGAAACACCGTAAAGCTGTCTGTGGACAAATGCCGGCTCCTTCGGCCTGAAGCGAGATGAGCGTCACACCCCATAGTCCAAGTTTGACTGGTCCTTTACCTTCACCTTTAGGTTTTCTAGAGTTTTTATTTTTTCCCCAGCCTTAAATACAGTTCTCTACATTTCCACAGCAATTTGAGCTGGTCTGCTGCAAAAAGTAGACCAAATAAATGTTCCTTTCTTGTTCAGCTCTAGCTAGTACACATGAGCTAGTACTGTGATCAACAGATGTGACATTTGAGGAAAATGGCATTTGAGCTTGTTCCACAGCTTGATGATTCAACTGTTGTCCTTAAATGTCGGCCTTATAGACAGACAGTAAATTCTTATCCTTGAATATGGCCTAGCAGTTTTCCAGCCCAGAAGAATAAGACTGGGATTATTGTTTCTCTCTTTCCCCTATATTTCAATATAGAGAACAAGAAAAATATCTCACAGAATATTTGTTTACCATACTTTGCTCCACCATTCTCTAGCACTATTATGAATGCTCAGGTCTGGGCTTGTTTGGACCACTCCCCCTAAATACATTTATAGAAAGGCTCATCTACAGAGAGAACTGGGAAACCAGCATGAAGCAGTCATTGTCACCAACTATGTCATTTTTAGCTGTATCAGTATTTTCAATGGCAAGTTAGTTATATATTCTCCGTTGTCCTAATGTCTATTAATGCTGGACCAATAGTTTGCATGTAACTACAATAATAACTTCAACTACTTTAAAGCAAAGTACAATGTTGTATATAATGTGTCTTTATCTAATCATACCAAAGTACAGGGACGCGGGTGGCGCTGTGGGTAAAACCTCAGCGCCTAGGACTTGCTGATCGTATGGTCGGCGGTTCGAATCCCCGCGGCGGGGTGAGCTCCCGTCTACGTCCCAGCTCCTGCCCACCTAGCAAGTTTGAAAAATCACCCCTAAAAGTGCAAGTAGATAAATAAGTACCGCTTTATAGCGGGAAGGTAAACGGCGTTTCCGTGTGCTGCGCTGGTGCTGGCTTCGCCAGAGCAGCTTCGTCACGCTGGCCACGTGACCCGGAAGTGTCTCCGGACAGCGCTGGCCCCGGCCTCTTAAGTGAGATGGGTGCACAACCCTAGAGTCGGACACGACTGGCTTGTATGGGCAGGGGTACCTTTACCTTTACCTTACCCCAAAGTACAATTTCCCAAAATTTTCAAGGGGAAAAAGTTTCCATTGTTGAATACATTGTAATGGATGCATCATTTGGTTCACTTTTGTAACAGAAGACTATTATTTTTTCCTGAATGGCTAGCATTTGTTGAGTAGTTTGCCCAGTCCCAGTCCCTATTTTTTTCTAGCTATACCCCTGCATCTACAGCTAGGTTCAAAGAGAAGTAGCTCTTATTTTGAACCCAGTGGGAGTCATACTCCCATGTTTGACACAAGGGGGCAATGAAATCCATATCTTCCATGCTGAAGCCAAGTATAGGCAAGGGAGATGTATCATATCTTGCTTCCCCCTCTTTATCTCATCTAGTGTGGATTTAGATTATGTGACAACATAAGTACACTTATAGAAACAAAATGAGTAATCAGTCTACTCCAGAAATCTCATTCCCTTATTCCACAATCCTGGAAGATGCTTTTACCTGCAGTCGAGTACCCTGCAACATATGTCTCATATCAGACAGTAACAGCAAAATGGCTTTTCACACTTTTATGTCAAAAGTTGCTATTGTTTTCTTATAGCTTTGCAGTATGATTTTTTTCCCCCAATAGCAGCACTGCTAAATCTCTTGTAGGGCCGAGTTCTGTTTGAAGGACCTGAGAGATCAGTTTGCTGTTTAGCACAGATGCTCTTACAAATCTCCAGGAGTTGGAAAAGATACATAATCTGACTTGGAAAGAAAACCACTTAAACTGGCATTAATCCATTTTTCCTAATACTGCCTAATTGGAAGCTGCTTGCCAGATCTGAGGCAGAGAAAGGACTGTACCACTCCTTTCATCTACCTGACATATTTTTTTAACTGGGGGTGCCATGATTTAAACCTGGAGCTTTTTGCAGACCAGCACATCCTATGGGTTCACTTCCCCAATCAGGGATATGGACCCCATACACTTTCATGTTCACAGCAAAGGGACTTAGGATACTTTTATGTATTGCATCAGCTGAGGCCGCAGAACCAAACTGAACGATTCGCTGAAGGTGCTCTGTAGAAATGGATCTTCAGAGTTCACTGCTTCAGACTTCGGACAAGACTTTGGCTTTCAAGCTCATATTAAGACTTCCATTCCCAATCCATGTTTACACAAAATAAGTTGCACAGAGTTCAAAGCTTCCAGGCAAGTGGGCACAGAACTGTAGGCTCCAGTTGCAGTCCTGTACACACTTAGCTAGGAAGAAGACCCATTGAACTAAGAGGAACTTACTTGAGTATGAAGAGGAATAGGGTCATGGCTGTTTAGTCTATTGTCTTCATAGAAGAAGCATGGGGGGGGGATTAAATTATTGCGGGAATGGAAGAGTGCAGATTTTAACTTTTTTTATTACACAGTAAAGAATACAACAATACCTGAATCATACTTTAAAGATTCACAGGTTGACAGACCATACATTACAGTCCAACTAAAGAAAAAAAAGAATAAACAAGAAACCACAGTTCAGACATAGTAGACTTAAAAGCTCAAGAGTATGCTGACAAAAGCATGATGCCTAGCCCCCACCCCCAACCCCAGTGTTAGTCTACCATTCACTTGTGGTACATGTCTGAATTAAGTATTGCACAACAACTTTTTTCTTTTTTTTTCTTTTTTCACAATAATGTCGCAGAACCCAAAACAAAAGTTCAAGATAAAAAAACAAACCAAAAAAAAACAACGAAAAAATGAAAACCAAAGTACTTAAAAAAAAAACTGCATTTCAACAGTCTCCAGTTTATTTTTTATTTTTTTCCTGTCCCTTGAGGAATTCAGACAACATGGAGTCAACTTTTCCCCCTTAAATGTTTTCCAGACGTTGGCATGCTTTGCATAAGTAATCCAGCCTTGTAAATTTCAAATCCCCAAGACATGCACCTATACATACACACACAAACACACATAGAGAAACAAAAAAAGAGAGAAAAGAATAAGAAAAAAAAGTGTTTGTTTTTTTAAAAAAAGAAAAGACCGGCAGCCCCTGCCACACACGCACACACGCACGCACACGCAGAGTTTCATGACAGAGAAAAAGAGGAAGAGGAGAGGAAGAGACAGAGATAAGAGGACGCCCTAGTCCTATTAGCGACCACCATTCAGATATAATCCAATGAAGTTAGTTTTTTTTATTTTATTTAAATGTGTTATTCCTACAAATTATACTCTCACATAGCCTGTATAATAAGTGACAAGCAAAAAAGGAAAGTAACAAAAGGGTTTTTTTGTCTTTCTTTCTCTTCTTTAGGTTTATGAGGTCTGCATTGTTACCAAGAAGTGATATGGTTTGCAGCTGTATGAGCTTTACTTTTGGTATTATCCTGGTTCTTTTGTGCCCATTTGGTTTGACTAGACCAGTTTTTTTGTTAGCTACTGGTGCAATATACATGCTGTCAGAGGTAGAGTGAAACTTTTTGCCACTGAGGAGACTGTAGCAAAACAGGAGGAGAGGAGGAAGAGGAGGAGGAGATAGAGCTCAGAGTTAGGGGGGTTATCTCTCTCTTTTTTTTTGTATTTGTATTTTTTTTTCACTCCGGGTGCCCTGAATTATAAAGTAATGAGACATACTGTACTAATCCTTCTTTCACACACTAATGTTCAAGAGCAACATTGCTGTTTCACATACATCACAGCTTCTAGAGACATACGGGTTATTATTATGAGATAATACCTCTTTTTTTTTTTGGATTCTTAAACCCTTTTGTAGTCTAGAGCACACAATAGCTCTAGAGAAAAGGACTGTCCAGTGTCACAAGCAGAACAGAAACCAAAGTGAGGTCGAATGGGTTTGGGAGCACCATGGTAAAATAGTACCCGTCTGAAAAGTTGGTTATGTGCTTTTGATTTCCACCTAAAGCAGGAGAGCTGAGCTTGCAAGCATCCATCTTCTGCTATGCGAGAGCCAGGCTACGTAGCAGGGTGACAACAGAGCTATTCCCCCAAGGGCCCTTTGAATTGTGCACTGCCTCCCACCCTGCAGGGGAGGTGAAAAGCAGTGGCAGAAAGCTCCACCTTGGATTTTACAGTTTAGCCCATAGTGGTCTGAAAACTCTCGTTTATAGAGGGTAAGCAGGGCTAAGAGTAACATCTGTCTTCTGCCCTCTCCAAGAATCTCAGAACAAGATCCAAGTCACAGAAATGGTTAAGGTTGGTTAAGCACCTAAACGTAACTAGGCGCAGTATGAAAATTATAACCCTTACAACCATCATGGGAGGTAGGTTAGACTTAGAAGACGGAGGCTTTGTCCACAGCCACCGAACGGGCCTCACTGCCAAGTTGGAGAGCCAATTGTGGATTTCTCCATGCCGAAGCCAGACAAGCCAACTTTAGCCAAGTTGCACAGAACACTGCCTTGTCTTTGAGAGTGCTTCGGATGAGGGAGAACAGGAATAAAATTTAGAAATGCGCCGCAAAACGAAGTTCACTGCGGGGCCTTTAAATGCACCCGCCTTGTTACGCTGACTTGGTGGGAAAAGCACACAGCCACCTCTTGTGCTGCTTAAAAGTGACAAGTCGTTTCTGGCCTGGACCCTGGACAATGAAGGGTTAAATGAGTGCCTTAGTCGGACATGTTTAACCTGCTGATCATTTGGAAAGTAGTAATGGTGCTTTCAGAATTCAGATTTTGGTCCATCAGAACAGTCTTTGGCTGACTTCCCTTTTTTATTTTTGTATTTTTGTAATAATACTGTAATATAACCTGGCATTCAGCAGTGTTAAAGCTGTCAATCTACACCTCAGCATTTGGAGCTCTTCTCATCATCATCATCATCATTATTATTATTTCTCTTTTGTAAAATCAGAAATACCTAACGACCTTACAGTGATATGCATGCACTGCTTTTTTTTCCTTTTCTTTTCTTCAAAAGTATGATAGCCTGTTTTATTTTTTATATTTTTTTTATAAAAAAACATCCCTATTAGTGAATTTTGGGAAAAAAGAGGGGGGGAGGGGGGAAAGGGGGAGAAAGAAAAATAAAAAAGAACCCACCACTATTCTATCCTACAGATAAACTCGGTGAAATGGCTCTAGCATCTTTTTAAAAAGAGATAGCCCCCCAAAAAGCATGCCTAGGGAGTCCTTGTGACAGTGCAAAATACATTTATGTACATCCCTCTTACAAAAACACCAATATGTTAGCATTCCGGGAAGCATGCTAAGTTTTTTCCCCTATAACAGAGTGAAATAGCAGCTCCGAAAGATAGCTTTTTTTCTCTTTTTCTTTTCTTTAAGACAAACGAAAAAAAAGAGGGGGCGGGATTTCTTCTCTCTTTTGAACTACTAGAGAAATATCACTACTACATACAGATATAAAAGCAGCATAGAAAGTTACAGGTTTCTCACCTACTAGTAATAAAGAAGACTAAATGTGAGCATGGTTAACTACAATGCATTTTCACATTTGTCCAACACATTTACAAGAAAAAAACACCATTGGGAAACCTCACAGGACAGAAGTGTTATAACACCAAGAGAACTACTAGATTTTTTCCCCATTTTTAATATATCTTTTTTTTTTCTTTATTAAAAACCCAGACAGGATGGGATGGAAAGAATTTTGGAAGGGTTCTGGAGCTGGAGTCACTGTTTTTTTCATCGTCGTTGTTGATACAAAAAATGAATGAGGTTGAATAGACCCGATTGTCTTACTCTGTGGAACCTTGTAAAAAAGTGAAGGAATTTTTTTAAGCTTTATATTTTTGGGGGTGGGGCGGGGGTGGGGGTAGAGGCAGCTGGTTGATGTTGTAGCTGCCAAAATGCTAATTAACTGCAGGCTGTGTCCTTATTTCTGTACTAAACAGGAAAACAAGAAACAAAAACAAAAACAAAAAAAACCCCAAAACAAAACAAAGAACGGAAAGGAAGAGGAGCCGTTTTGTACGATGGCGATTTTTTCCCCTTTGCTGCTGTTTTGTTTTTTTAAGTCCTACATCCCACTGCAAGTCATCTTCCATTTTTCATTCTGTTGACCTGGATATTATTATATTTCATTCAGAAACAAGAAAAAAAATGAACATCTGTGTCTCCTTCCAATCTGCTGCACATCTGCGTGTTTTTGATGCGGGCCTTCAGAGTTCAGTCAGTAACCCACGGACACTATACATCTTCTTCTTAATATGTCTGCTGCTGTTTTATCCAATGCTCATGCCCTTGAGGGTTTTCTCTCTCTCTTTCTTTCTTTATTTCTCTCTCTCTCTCTCTCTCTCTCTAACTCTCTCTCTCTCTCGCATTTTTTTTTATTAAATCCCATTATTGTTATAAAGAACATTGTGACTTTATATTATTAGCATTTTTGCTTTCAACAGCAATTAGCAATCTCTTGGTTTGCTGTTTGGTAAAGCATCTGTTAATGAGGTCATCTAGTTTAAAATCCCAGCTACTGGAAAATAACAGGGAGGAGGTCAAATCTATCATTTTGTATGTGTTAAAATTATCTGCTCTTCTCAGTTTCCTAAAGGAAAGGTATCTTTGTTTTCCAGAAGAAGTCATTATGACCCGTTACTGGCCTTCTGTATTTTTTTTTTCTTTTCACTTCTACCTCAAGATACAGTTTTAAGTTCTTTTGCAGTATTGAAACGTGACAGTTCAGTAAAAACCTTTGAGCATCTGAGGATGAGGAATTTTGTTTTGTGTTTTTGTTTGTTTTTGTTTTTAGTAGTTCTGCGGTTCAGTCTTAGCGAGGAGTCGCTTCTATGGTGGACGGAGTCCCAGGGGTGTTTGACCGAGGAGTAGCTGCTGGTGGCGTGTCAATCGGGCTTCCGGCTCCGCTGTTGGGCGTTGCGGAGGAGCTGACTGCTGGTGTCTCTCCTTGCTGCTGGGCTTGAAGTGTCTGTCCACAGATGTGGTGGTGTTTCTCCCAGTCCTTATGCTGGCAAAATGAGCCACAGTATCGCGCCGTGTTGCAACCGCTGCAGGTTTCACTAGCTTTACGGCCACAGTTCCAGCAACTCTGTAGAAGAGACGGAGAGAAAGAAAGACAGAGCAAGGCATGTCAGTCATTTGGCTGGAATGTCAACATGAGTATTTATGGAATATTAGCATAATATACTTGCTAACAGCTGGGTTGGACCTGCTGTCCTGTGAACGGAACGGCTCCTTCCATTCACAGAAGTGATTTGGATCTAGTAGAGAAGCGCTGCCGGAGGAAGGGGAGCGAATTTTGCCGATTCCCCCTTTCTTCTGCAGGCCCCGGTGCTATTCCTGAGGTCCACCAACCCTCCAGAGTAGGCGCAGGGGAAAAGGGGATCACCAAAGATAGCTTTCTGCCTGTAGGAGTGTCTCCAGAAAGAGACTTCTGCTCTGGGTACCTCTGGATCCCACCCTTAATCTTGGTCTAGTTAAAAGAATTGGAGATATAGATTGGAATACCAAGTGGAAAGGAGTCAACTGTTTTTTCACCCCATTTACAGCTCTGGGCAGTTTCCAAAATGCAGGGAGCTGTCTCAGGTTAGAGGGAGAAACAGCTGCCCACAGGACATCTAAAGAGGGACCATAGGTCATTATCTACAAGGTACCATATGCCGTAAGTACACAGGCTTTTAATTGTTTTTTGGGGTGAGGGGGGAAGCACCCCTGGGAAGCGGCAATACACTCATCCAGAGAATTGGCCCATCTAGTTCAGTACTGACTCCGTTGGCTCTTCTGGGCTTTAGAGGGGAAGGAAAATGCCAAAGATTGGATATGGCACCTTTTGCATGCACACTGAGTCATGGCCATTCCAAGTCACACAGGGTTCAGTAGTGATCAGTTTTCTAGGCCATCTTCACATTCACACAAATGGTAAACTTAATCACTTTCTCTGTGCCAGGCGTTAAATTGTGGAACCCGCTCCCCGCAGAGGTGCGTCAATCATCTTTAATGTAAACCTTTCACCATATGCTGACAATGTGCTTCTTCATCCTGGTCTTTGACAGGTAAGGTAACATGTTTTGCGGGGCTCACTCCCCCCCTTTTTTTTTTTTTGCTGAATTTCTACGGATCTGTTCCATTTGGAATGGATTTACGCGCCCTCTGTTTTTATTTTTTTTAATAATTGTATACTTTATTGCGGGGACCTTATGGCGAAGGGTAGGTGAGATATTTTTATAAATAGGTAGGAAAGAAACCAAATTAACGCCATTAAAAATAAAAATAGTAGTAACTAGAAATGCTGGACATCTTAAATATAAAAGTATAGTTGTGTACACACCATACATTTAAAGCACATTTGTGCAGGCTGTTGTTGAATTTTATTTCCAACCCCAGTGCTGGGGCCTCCTCCTCCATTGCAACTCAACTGATGCAGGTCAGTCTCAGTAACACATAAAGATCTGCCCGACTGTCCAAACCCTTAGTATCTGCTACCTGAGGCAGCCACTACCTTCTGCCTACTGGTGGGGCAGGTCCTGGAAAGGCTTAGATGAAAGAAACCCCATGCATCCACCATCTTCTGGATGGTAGCTTAACCTTTCTAAAACAAAACCAGTAACATATTCAATCTAACAGAAACGATTACAGACTCTCCAGAGTTTCTAAAAGGCCTCTTTAAACCTGTGTGCCATAGCAGACACATCAAGATTCAGTTTGTAGATGAGTGCAGCACTCTTCTGTATCACTAAACTGCCCATGAAGCTCCTTCAGAGACAGGTTGGGCAGCTGCTGCCTCACAATTTCGGGACTTTGTTCTCCTGAAGCCATGCAGCAGTTAGAGCTTTAAGTTGACATGCAATTAAAAATAAACTAAGATTTCTCCCCTTCCTGTGCAAATCCTCCATAAATATTACAGCAACCTTGCAACCGTGCTTACACACTTTGCTGTTATAAAAGTTGCAGGCCCAGGCCCAACACAAAGACCGTGTTGGTTATTTGTCGCATATAAGGGAAGGTTGGCCTTTGCTAACTATAAGCCACCCTAGGGCATTGATTTATAACCAGTGGTTCAGGACCTGCTACTGGCTCATGGCTTGAGCCACAATAGCAACACTAACACTATACAAATCAGGTCCTCCCTTAAAGAAGGGAGGAAACCCAGATAACCAACACCCTGTGTTGTGGGTGGGTTCTATTCGTCAGCCACAGCACCTGATTGGCAGGTCCCTCGAAGATGGGTGCAATTGACCTTGCTATGCCGTCATGTGTCGTCTGTCATTATGACAGGGGCACAGCAGGAATTTCCTTACTTGGCTGACTGGCTGCTGCCATTTGGGTTTCGCCTGCCGCATAGCAAATTGTCACAACTTGTAAGGTTGCGGATAGGCTCTGGTTCAGGCGATAGGGATGGGGGGAGCGGTCTCGCCATGCCTATGTGAAGGGTATTCCGTTAAAGGAATCCAGGGACTCGATGGTTTGGTCAACCCCTGAGAGGGGGTTGTGCCTGTGCCTGAGTCCAGGGGGACATTTGCGTGGCGGAGTTAGCCCGTTCCCGGCTTTCTGCTTATCCAGGTGTTCACCCTTGGCTGACCTATGCTGGAACCCTGGGTCAGTGCTACCTGCATGGCAGGGAGCTAGTCGAACCAGAGTCACTTTCTGTAATCAATAAAGTTGTGGCCTAAATTCTGCCAAAAACCAAACCAAAATTTGAGTCATGTATGAATTTATTTAGGGGGGAGGTTTCTGGGTCTGAACACACAAATATATATATATTTTAAAAAAGGGTCCCCACTTGCACAAAGGACTAAAAAGTTGGTCCCTGGCCAGAAAAGGTTGAAGATTACTGTTCTAGGGTTAAGGAAACTGTATTAGACTTCCCTGACAGGGAATCAATATGCTAATAGGTTTCCACCGCAGTGCTGGTCAAGCAAGCCCGGTTACACTGCTGAAATCTCATTTCTTTCTATTAAAAAGAAGGGCTGTGTTTAAAAATGCTAAGAAGTTCATTCCCTGCTCGCGTTTAATTCCAAACAACAAATTCCTTGTTAAGAATACCGCCAGCTGACGGCGTCCTCCAATTCTGCTCCCTTTCGCTCCCTGCCAAGTGGGAAGCCACCAGAAAGGATGCCTGCTGCTCACTTTCCTCCAGCTTTGCAATGCCAGCTGGATGGCTGGAGCAGAGCCAGCCGATAAGTGAGATTCCTAAACTACAACAGAAATCCCAATTACCAGGAAAGAACAAAGACCTAAATCCAAAACACTGTTTTAAGGAAATTAAACATTTAATCGGAGTCAAGTGGCTTCTTTAGAAAACAGTCCCCGTGTTAGATTTACTCTCTCTTTTTGGCACAGGAATGTTTTGGCAGATGCAAGAATAGTTAAGTGTCCAATACTCATTGCTCTCTCCCTCTCCCTCTCTCCTCACTAGATTGAAATCAGATGCATGCAGCTTTCCTAACTCAACTCATACCGATTAAGCCTGCAGACTAAACCAGGTAATTACAAATGCATGAACTGGGATTTCCCCCCCCTCCTATTTGCAAAAATTGTTCCCATCTTTTAAAAACTCTTTTTAAAAGGTGGAATTACCAACACAGAGAAACAGATGTTTTTTAGTGGTTAAAATTGCTGGGAATACAGACTCCTTGTCTATCATCAGCTGGCTTTGATTCACTGTCCATGGTTTCAGGTTTGTTCTGCTTACACTTTATCTACAGGGGATGCAGAGGGCTCATTGTAGTTTTAATGTTTTATTTTCAAACAGAAGATAATCGCAATGGAAAGAAGTTTCCAAAATTATAAATGTGGGAAAGGCAGGAGATTTCTAATAGAACACTATTAAGCTTATGATAAAATACTTGGGTTGCGAACCAGCAAGCCATACTACAAGTGCACAACTGCCATTCATTTCAATGGAGCCACAGAGGAAATCTTATCTACGCCTCACTGAAAGGAACAGAAAGTGCTGTTATTAGTCAATTCTATGCCTGGAGAAAGGTCCCACTTCTACACCTTCTCCCTGGAAACCAGCTCCTGGGTGAGCTAAGAATATTGCAGATGCTGAGGTTTCATGCTTCTGAATTTCCAAGCTCTCGTAGCTCAGATATACTGGCCGTGGCTCCTGCTGCCTGGCCTTGGAGATGTCATGTCACAGACTGAACCTTGACTGAGCTATGGTCTCTGTCTCTAGGTGGCAATGACCAATTAATGCAAATGGAATGTGGGGTGGCTTAGTTCTCATGTGGACACAAGTCCAAAACTGTCATAATTTTATAAATTTGACATCTCTTACTCGCCTTTTCTCTAAATCAAAAAGTCTTAGATGCTGCAACCTTTCTTCCTAGGGGAGTTGCCCTAAATTGTTTTGGTTGCCCTTTTTTGAACCTTTTCCAAATCTGCAATATCCATTTTTTGTGGTGAGGCTACCAGAACTGTTCACAGTATTCCAAATGCTGCTGCACCATAGATTTCCATAAAGGTATTATAATATCAGCAGTTTTATTTTCAGTTCCTTTCCTAATGATCCCTAGCATGGAATGTGCCTTTTTCACAGCTGCCACACAGTGGGTTGATGTCTTCATCCAGCTACTATGACCCCAAGGTCTTGCTGCTGGTCTGTCATCACCAGTTTAGACCCCAGGAGCGTATATGTGAAATGAAGATTTATTTTGCTCCAACAGGCAGAACTTTACACTTGTTTACATTGAATTGCATTTGCCATCTTACTTCGTCCCTCGCCCCACAATTTACTCAGTTTGGAGAGGTTCTTTTCAAGCTCTTCACACTTTCTCTTTTTGTTTTTAACAACCTTGAACAATTTGGGATATCATCAGCAAACCGAGTCACCTTACTACTCAATCCTATCTCAATATTGTTTACGAGCAAGTTAAAAAGCACAAGTTCCAATACCGATCCTTATGGGACTGCACTTTTTACATCTTTCCATCCAGAGAACTTGTCCATTTATTCCTACTCCTTGCTACCTGCAACTTAACCAATTCCCGATCCACAATGGGACCTCTCCATCTTATTCCTTGACAACTAAGCTTATTTGGGAGTCTTTGGTGAGGTCAAAAGCCTTTTCCAAGTCCATGTTTGCTA